AAGCCTATGCTACACAAGAGGGACTGAACTGTACAGTGCACTTGGCCTCTGCGTTTTGGTGTTTTTCATACTTTCCCTTTCCGTTTTCATTTCAGTTTTTCATCATTTTTTCCTGACACAGTTTTCATTTGCAGAATTAGAAAAAAAACAACAGCAAAACCCCACCACAGTCTCACACCCAAACCTGTTGCCCTGAGCACTCAGGTTGCTTACACAACTTCTAACAATAGATTCAAAAGGCCAAGGGCCAAAGTTCTGTGACGCAGTATTGGATATCAAGACACAAGCACACCTCCCCTCTGTTAACACTTAACTCTTTGCATATATTTTTCCTAAGAAATGCTAATAAAGAAAAGATATGGGCACAGAAATTATAGGGTTCATCAGGTGCCCAAGTATAAGGGAGGAGAACATATAGCTATCTTTGTTATTTGCATTTTAACAGCAAAAAAGAGCATGTGGCCAGATGTCCCACCATATGCGGTATCGCCTGTGCTGACATACACACAGAGCACTCAGCATACAGAAGGAGCAAACAGCTCCTTATCACTCTCCAGACACTTGGTAACACATTCGTCCACCCACAGCACTTAACATTTCACATCATATGCCTGTCTAACTGCTCCGCCCGAGACCCTCACCCACTTCTAGTCCTCACATTTGACTGTATTTTGGTGATCTGCTCAGCCCCACTACATTCATTCTCTCAGAATCTTTGCTTGCTATCTCTATCCCACATTTGGTCATTCCTAATTCCAAACCTCTCCTTTCTTTTCTATGTGAATCAGACATAGCCTCTATTTCCACACACCTTCTCCCACACCCAAAGAATTCACTTATCCTCCACTACCTTTTATCCCAGATTTTGCCTTTGCACGACTTGTTGTTTCCATCCTTCACCTTTGTCCCCAGTTACAGCAAAGTTTGATTAACTTTTATCCATACCCCATAAACAACATCACGTTGGGTCATTCCTCAAATGTCTCACTAACTCACTCAAGTGTTCAGCTATCTCTAGAGCACAAAACACACAGCCCCCTGTAGAAGGGTAACCTTGCTTGTCTTCTGTGACCTGTATTTGTACCCTCTTGCTCCTACTAAATGCAGAGTGCTGCAGGCAGAAGCACAAGCTCTTGATCCACTCTGCCCTTGAAGCACACTCTGAGAAGAGGAAGAAGTGACTTTATGATTCCACATAAAGAGGTGATACCCCTGGCCACCCTTCTGTAACACATCAACTCCAACTGTAGTAGTTTCTAAAGTATCCGCATTTTATGTGGAAATGAGTAAAAACTTAATTCTAATGTGCAACAACTTCCTATCCTGAACAGAGTTAATGAAAAGTGCTAAGCCATTTGACAGCTTCATAGCTATGGATCTGTACTAAGACTTGGCTGACATTACCCATGTTTGCTTCATCACAGTAAGGAGGTCTACTGAAAATCTAAGAACCCGTGCTGTTTTTAACAGAACATAAGCCACAGTAATGAGTACTACCTTCTGTCAGTGTTGTTATTCTCATGCAGTGTGAGGATTTTGCTTACTGATCCATCACAAATACAACCCAAGCACCTGCCTTAAGAACAAACTGCAGGGTCCTATTACAAACCTCACATGTGACACTTGCGCAAGCCTCAGCATCTCTGATGATCCGAAAATATCCGAGCAACTGCCATCATTAACGCATACTTTTCTTGCGAGATCTACTAGTGGATAAGCCTTAGCCTTCCAGGAAGCACTCCCTCACTAAGCTTCTCTCCTCTATCCCTTCTCTGACATCTACCACCATTTCACACTTTCCATTCTCAGCTTCTTCCTTTTTTAACTTTCCACCCCTATGCTCATAAGGACAAAATAACCCCAACCCTAAACAACCTTGGGATTTTATTTTTCTCCATCCCCATTAAGCATGAGAAAAGCACAAGGAGCCTCTTTTATGAGTGCTGAAGACCTTTTAGTCAAGCACACTAGCAAAACTGTCCACAAGAAGCATAAAAATAGATTATGACAGTAAGAAATCACACACAAGAGAAAGAAATTGGCAGAATGTAACAGAAATGGCAATAGAAAATTAATTTGGAAAGATAGGGTCAGAAGCAAGAATGGAAGAAAAAAAATAGGGTAGAAATAGACAAGAGACTAGTTACCAAGAAGGAAAAACGTTTCCAAGAGAGTTCCTCTCAAACAACTTAAAATCCTAGCTGTTTTCAGAATACAATAGATGGATAAAATGAACAAACAGAAAGGAAAAAAAAAAACAGGGTAACACAAGTTCATTAATATGAGCAAGCAGTTCAGCAGGTAAAACACACAGACCACCACCCGTACGCTCCAGCTACTGCCTTTATAAATAAGCAGTTATAATTAACATAAATCATGAATACATTAGGCACACACCTGAAACAGGATGGAAGCAAAAGCTATTCCACTCAAGAGATTCCTAATGAAAACCACTTTGGAGCACTGTGACAAGAGACACTGTCTGCACTTCTTCACCTTTACTTTCAGCTAGTAGGAGTGGACTATGTCAGGAAAATGGTAAGTCATGGAGGCACATAAAATATCAGTCGAGCTGCTTTATTCAAGTTTTGAGTTTATCATTGACCAATACAAGCAGTGAAACATGCTCAGATAATTACATGGGACGAACTTAAAGAAGTTGAAAGTTAAACCGAGTTCAACAAGTTAGTAAAACATTTACACAAACACTACATTGACCTCAACAGCACTGGCCTGAGTCCAGTGACACAAGGTAGAACACTTATGTCCCAACACAGAGAAACACACATAAATATCACTGGTACAAGCTAGATTTTCCATACCAAACCAAAATGTTTAAGCCAAGACTGGAAGCATGAATAAGAAAAGGAAGAAGAGAAACAGAAAACCCTCAAACCCGCAACCAAACCCTTCTTAAACACAAAAGCAAAAATAATGACAGAGCAATCATAAAAACCCTTAAGGCAGCAAACCACAACCTTTCTTAGAGCTCAGAACACACAGAGACACTGGTAATTTTCAACACAATAAATCTCACCCACACTCTTGAATATTTCTGACAAAGGAACATGCAAAACCTAAACCACAGCAACAGGAGCATCTCCTGTAAAAAGGAATCTGTCTGATCTGAGGGGAAGATATACAAGAACCTCCCTTCCGTTTCCTAAAATAATACTGGGAAATATTTATTATATATGAATAAAAACATTAGAAAATAATTAGAAATATTTATGATATACAAATATATAGGTAAATATTTTAGAAAAACAAAATAGATGAATGATGTAATTCAACTCATATTGTTACTGCTCAAGCACACCAGAAACCGTTCAGATTGGAAAGCCTATTTTCTGCACTACACCAGTAACAAAATCTATTTTTCAGATGAGCAGCTGTTATAACAAGATGTGTTTTCCAGATGAGCTGCACTCAGGACTAGACAAATACATTTTTCATTTTTTTCCTCAGAAACAAAAAGTCATTTCAGGTTTCCTGGGCTTATTTTTACCTACTAAAAAAAAAAAAAAAAAGCTTTCTTTTTTTTTTCCCCCAGAAATTTAAGCTTATTAAAAGTACAGAGTTTAAGAATAACAATAGAAAAAAAAACCCTGAGATCACTGACTGAATTGCCCGGCATTTCCGTACAGGTGATGACACAATATTCTTTGCACACATACCTTTTGGGGAAAATTCTGCACCTAGAGCTTCAAAAAAATAGAAACCAACTCACTAACATGAAAAAAACCAAAACCCAAACCAGGCCCAACTCGCCAACATGTGTTATCAGGGTGTTGATCTTTCCCCTCTACTGCGGCTCCAAGTACGCATCACTTATTTATGCTCATTTCTGGCCAAGTGGGTTTTCAGTCTTCCTATTTAATTAGGCCAAAGCAGCTTCTCAAGAGAGCGCTGCGTTTCCCTCATGCAGCGTGTCAGAGCGTCCCTTTACAACCCTGTGACCGTATCTATACGTCCGGGGTTGTCACTAACACCTTCTGTGGGACCAACCGCTGGTCTCGGGAAACAGATTTTGGATGCAGAGGGCTTCAGCTTCAGTCTAAGCGCGGGGAGAATTCCAGCGCTGACTTTAGCACAGCGCTGCTGGTTGCGCGCTTTGAAAGCGTCCCTTAGAGGTTCACCTGAAGTAACCTGGGAGACTGGCTGGGTAACGGCCCTTTCCCAAACCTAACTGCCGTTACCGCACCCCAGCGCCAAAGCATTCCGCCCTTCTCCACGTCCGACAGCCTCAATCTAAGCCCTGACACCGAACTCCCCGACCTTCATTCTCTCCCCAAAGCAAAAGCCCTCGCGGCTCCGGGGGCAGGGAGGGGGGAGCACAGCTCTCGGGATCCCGGCACCGACACCACCGAGCGAGAACACTGGTGGAAACACGGACCGCTGCCCCGTGAGCCACCCGCAGCTGTTACCCGTCCTTCTGCCCGCCCCGGGCGGCCGCCCCGCGCGGAGTAAGGGAAACGCCGCCGACTCCTTCGCTTCCAAGCGTCTCACGCCGTTCCTTGAGGCCGCCTCGGCGGAGCGCCGGGACCCGGCACCGGTCGGGCTGGGGTGTGTGCGTGCGGGGTGTCACCGAGGCTCGGAGCGGCTCGCTGCCCGCCCCTCTGCCGCACCGGGCAGGACGCGGCAGCCCCCAGCTCCCGCTCCCGTCGCGCAGGGCGGCTGTTTCCGTGACAACGCGACTCTGTCACACCCCTCCCCGCTCACCGGGCCCTCGGGTCGCCGGCGCCGCCACATCTCGCCGCTCTTGCGCGCCGCGTCAGCGCTCCCACGTGACGCACCCGTCGCGCGAGTTGCGCATCGCGGAAGGGCGCCGTCTGGTGTCCATGGGAACGGGCCGCCACGCGCGCTCCTCGCTTCGGCCGCGGAGGGTGCTGGGGGAGGCCCGGGGCGGCCGGTAACCGGGGCACCGGGAAGCACTGCCGGCGGGTGGTCCGCGCTCCGTCGCAGTTGCTCCCGCTCCCGCAGCCTGGCGGTAGGCTGGACGGGTAGCCCAGCTGTCTGAGAAGAAGCGGGTCGAGGTGGAGGCGGCGCTATGGGAGGCTAGGCCGGAGGCCACCGAAGCCTCCCGGGCCGAGTACGCTGAAGCTCGGCCGGCTGGCCAGGAGCAACGCGGAACTGCTGTGACGGCGGCAGGACTAGGGAAGGGAAGCGGCGGCCGCTATGGCCTGCCTCACGAAGCCGGGCCAGGAGAAGGCGGAGGAGGTGTGCGTGCAGCCGGGCAAGCCCCTCTCTATCCCCCCTAGCTACAGCTTCTCGGCGCGCAGCAAAACACCCCGCGGCCGCCCCGGCCGCTCCTGTTCCTGCAGCCGAAGGTGGACGAGCGTGAAACGGCAGCGCGCCCCGGCGGCGGGACTGCTGTTGGCAGACTGGGCTGCGGGTTGGAAGCCTCGCCTCTGGTGCCCGCCTGCTGCCTCACACGAGACCGCGGCGTCCTGTCTGGCTCGGCCTCCGTACAGAAAAGAGAGCAAAACGCTGCAAAGAAGGCAGGGAAGGGGAAATGAGATGGTCGGATGCTTCAGCACAGAGTGTACAAGAAGAGGCTGAAGCGTTCGTCAGCTTGAGAAAAAGAGAAAGTTAAGGGGGAATGCGATAGATTTAGCTGCTTGGAGAAGTTTTTAGAGAAAATAGAGCCAAACTCCACTCGGAACGCAGTGAAGAAAAAGAAGCCCTGCATTGTACCTTCCATTTCCTCTATCAGAGATTATTTCACTTTAGTCCTGTTTCTACTTTTCTAAAGCCAGGTACGAAGCAAAACCCTTTTTCAGTTAGAAAAAAAAACAACAAAAAAACACTGGAAACTGGAATTATTTTAACTTTATATAGATATGCGTGTGTGTGTATATATATGAAAGAAGATTGAAAGCTCTGATCCCCAGGACATTGGTGAGGTCAAATGGTAGGAGACAATTTCCTTGCTCACATGCTACTGTTTTCTTTCAGACTCTCCAGTATAGAAGATATTACTCAGACCTTTTTCCAGCTGCCTCTTTTTGTGTCTTTTGTTCTCCTTTTCTAAACTGTTTCTCTAACACTGCACCACTATCCAAAACAGTAAGGAAGAAAACCTGCTGTCCGCATAGCTTAATTCTTCAGTAGAGTCACAGATCTGTTTGTATTGAATACATGGCAGGGGGGTTATAGTTTAAGCTTTTAAATTTCCTGTCATTAACACAAATCAAAGTTTTAAACATGGTTTAATTGACCTGAACATTGCAAATGAGGCATCTTTCTCCTATTTCTGTCAGAGAAGAACACAGCAAGGATGTTTTTTCCCCTCACAGTTACTGTTTCTTGATTTCTGTTGCCATAGATTGAAAAACAGAAGCAGGAGCTGACTGATTTGAAACAGCAAGTGCAAAATGACAAGAAGATGGCGAATTAACTTTTTTCTTTGTCCTTGTAACAGTGGAGTCTTCTGAGCAGGCTGAAGAGTACTTCTGATTTTAGTATGAGGAATGAGCTTGTGCAATTAACGGTCTGTCGTGGTTTAAACCCAGTCAGGTAATTCGTTCGCTCACTTCCCCCCCTTTCTTGCCCTCCCCCTGCTCCCGGAGGGACGGAGAGGAGAATCGAAAAGAATGCAACTCCCACGGGTTGAGATAAGAACAGTTTAGTAACTAAGGTATAACACAAATCACTACTGCTACCACCAATGATAATAATGATAAAGGAAATAACAAGGGAATACAATACCTCACCACCAGCCGACTGATAACTCCACCCCCCCAGCCCGACCAAGCTCTGACCGATACCTCCTCCAACCCTGCAGTCTCCCAGCCCTTCCGGCTAACTCCCAGTTACATCCTGGGCATGACGTGCTGTGGTATGGAATACCTCTTTGGTCAGTTTGGGTCAGGTGTCCTGTCTCTGCTTCCTCCTGGCTTCCCCTCCTCCCTGGCAGAGCATGAGGCTCACAAAGTCCTTCGCCAAACCAAAACATCTCTATCAGCTCTGTTCCCGAGCCGAAAGTCAAAACACTGCACTGCACCAGCTACCAAGGAGGAGAAACATGACTGCTACTGCTGAACCCAGGACACGGTCACAGGTTTTGATTTAAAAATACTGCATGAAGAATTTGAAAAAAAAAACAAACAACAACAACAAGGGTGATGTGGGAGTTATCCCATGACTCTGCAGTACTGTATCAGGTAGTAGTAGGACTATTATATATATTCTGAAATAGTATTAGCAACTAGCTGGGTAACCGTAAGACCTGAGGCAAAAACATGTTTCATTTTTAATGAGCTGAACTATAACTACTTTGAATTGCTTTATAGTTCTTCACTCATTACTGTTGAATCAAGACTTCTTAAAAAGAACTGAGAAAATTACTATTTGTTAATCTGGCTCAAATAAACAACACAGAACTGATCTTGATGTCTGCAGAGTTGGTTCTGTCACATACTCTCACTCCTCTCTTCCCAGTGCTGTGCAACAGCCGTTTTCCCCTCTTAAACACATTATTCCAGAGGTGCTACCACTATTGTTGATGGGCTCAGCTTTCAGCAGTGGTGGGACCATCTTGGAGCTGGCTTTGGCTTTGTTAGACACCTGGGAAGCTTCTGGCAGCTTCTCACAGAAGCCTCTCTTGTAGTCTCCCCACCCCTCCACTACCAAAACCGTGCCATGTTAACCCAATACAATTATATTATGGATGTTGCTTTAAACTTAATTTCTATACTTGTTATTTCACTGGAGTGTAGCTTCTGCTGAGTTTGCAGCATTTCTTCTAATGATGGATTCTTTGTAGTTTTTTAAAACGACATGGCATAGAATTTTAGACATTCAGTTCCGTATGCTCTGTGTTTTATGTTATAATATGATGACGATTGGTTTATCTCCATTTCTGATTGCAGGCAGACTATTATGCCTAACAGAAAAACAACTGGAAATGTCAGAAAAAAAACAAGAGAAATTGGGCAAATTAAATTAGAACTGAAATTAATAAGGGAGTTCTATAGGGGACAAGCGGCTATTGAGGAAGAGCTGGAAGATATAAGTTTGTAATAAATATGCATTTGTAATGTAAGTTTTCTGTCTGCAAGACAGTATGGAAATTGGGAGTGGAGGATATGGCCAATCTACTGCATTGTTTTCCTTACAGAGAGTGAAGAAAAGCACTAGGTTGATAAAATGCAAGTTCTGTAGCCAGAACTCACTTCTGTAATGGTTCAGTGCTGTAGGTTTGTTTGGTTTTTTACAGACTAACATGGAATCATACAAACGTGGGTAGACTCAGCATCTAGTACTCCCTTTAAAGACATGTATGAAGGAGCTAGCAATTGACTACGAATCAATTGCTACAAGTCAATCTAAGTCTGACCGCTTTCTCACTAGTTAGCTCAGTTAGGATGTGAATGCTGGTATGGTATCATCTTTTCAACCACATAAGCTATTTAGTATATAAAACTAGGGACTGTTTTTCACTGAGAACTTACACAGCACATGACCTAATCAGAAATACTTTGGAGCTATAATACAAATATTAAATAGTAGTATTGACTGTAAAATATAAAGAAGTATCCCAGTTGACATGAAAAAAGGGCCATGAACAATTCAAGTGCTTTACTGACTCAGCTGGATCTTTTTTTTTTTCAACCACAAGAAGGGACTTAGAAACAATGCTTTCCATGGAGACAAATGACTGGTCAACAGCATCTGGATTCTTAATGTATAGAATCATAGAATGGTTTGGGTTGGAACGGACCTTAAAGATCATCTAGTACCACCCCCCTGCCGTAGGCAGGGATAGCTGCTTTTACGCTATTAAATGCATGTTAGTCAGACATTTTTCAAGGAACACTCGAGGCATTGGACTTTGAATGATCTTGGTGACTGAATGAATAGATAAAGTAAAGCAGATTTCTGAACCTGATCACAAAACAGAGCAATAGATTGTAAATTACAGTCAGTGATGTGAAATTATGGACACAAGTGAACTGCAAAGGGGACAAAAAGCAATAATACAAGTCAGAAGTTTATGTGAATTTTATAGATTATGTAAAACATCGATGAAGACTATTGGTAGTGGCAGGTAGTAATTTGGTAGAATTATAGAATTCTGTGGTAGTGCCAAATTCCTTCTTGAGAGTGCTTATATGTGTCAGTTATATGGCTGACATAAAACACCATTATTAAAGAAATTCTGGTTTTTATCATAGTTAAAAGAAAGTATAGCGGTTTCAGACATGGACATCAGGAAGTGTTTGTGAGATTGGAGAGGAGGTTGCTTGAAGAAAAGGCAGTTTTATTTATAAAAAAAGGCAGGTATATTTTATAAGAAAAGGCAGTTTTAACTTTTATTAGAACAAAATGATTTCTTCCATTGACTACTCTGGTTTATACAGTTTTCACAGTTCTTTGATGAGTATTTGAACAATTTCCCATGTTACTACAAGTATGATGAATGAGTTGGAGGCTAAATGCAGCTTTCTAAGAAAGACCATGGGATGTCAGAATCCCAGAAAGACAGTATTCCTCGTTTCCATCAGAAACTTCAGTGTCCTTGTTGGTTTATTCTTTCTCTAACAAGAGGTGGGTGAGATGAAAAGTGTGGGTGTGATTTTAGAATTTACACTGTTTCAGATTTTAGCTTTGGTACCACAAGTCTCATGCAAAATTTAAACATTTCTTTTCTCCCTTTTAGAAAAGACTGGAAGAAAAAGTTGAGAAAAAGCAAACAATGATGGCAGAGACTGCCCAGCGTGATACTTATTCATAAGAAATACTTGCTTTTCCTGTTTTCTACTTTACAAAACCTACTTAGTGCTGTGTTCTAAGTAAGTTGTTCATGTTATTACATGGGCTTTGAAGGGCAAAATCAGTGATGACCGAGGCAGCGCTTACATTTATATGGTAAGGCTCTAGAGGAGTAATATTACCATGATAATACTGCTGTTTCCTTCATTCTTCTAGTCCAGATACAGGAGTAGAAGCAAAGCTGTGAAAACTTGGTAGAGACCTGTAAGAATTTTACAGCTTAGCTCTTAAATTAAGACACTGAAATGTTGATTTTATTAAGAAAAAAAAACAAACAAACAACAAACAAAACAAACAAGAAAGGTTGTGATTAAAGCTTTTGGATTTTGTTTCCCTCTGTCCAGGCACCAGACCAATGCTTGAGAGAGAGGTATTTAAGGTGGATGTTTGTCTTCACAGTGGATTTGCTTACCAGCTGAAAGGAACAGTGGAATTGGAGAAAAGCAAACAGAAGTTAGAAGAGGACAAAAGTCTTCTGTTACGGGAGAAGATTTCTGCTCTGGTTTTAGTTCTGTTCCATTCTCCTTCAGGAAGGGGTCAGATGCTTCTGCAGTTGCTGAATTTAGAGGTGTCTGAAGGACAGTTCTTATTCCATCTTCATCATGGAGGAGAAAGAATGATTTCCTATGCTAGCCCATTAAGAATAAGTCTCTCTGTAATGTATACTATTTACCAAGTCTTCTTTATCTGGCTTTTCTTGTAAACAAAAGTCTGATCCCAGAGAAGTATTCACTCTCCAGTATGAAGGTGCCTGCATGTTTACTGTCAGTGTTGGAGGAAAAAAGACTGTAAAACCACACCTCCAGATTTGGCGCAAATGAAATAAAACCCCAAGCAATTTATTTTCATCTTTTAGGAAACCACTGAGGCTTTGATTCAAAAAACGATCCTACAGATCAATTGTCAGAAAGCACAGATTGGAGATCTGCAGAGTAAAGTAGAAAAGCTGGAGATGGACTTATGTCATGTGACCACAGAATCTGAGGTAGAGACTCAGAAAATACAGCATCAGGCACTGATACAAAACCAGGCAAGCATGGTCGAGATCAAGAAGCTGCAGCAACTACTAGAAATGAAGGATCAGGAGATGAACCAAGTGAAGGAACTAGCCCAGAATATCTTAAATGAGAGGACCACTGTGGAAAGGTTCTTCCTAGATGCTCTGGAACATGTGAAGCAGGAGATCATATCCAGTATAAGAAATATATATATCCAGCAGTATAAGAAAAAGGCCCAAAGTGCCTATTACAGAAAAATGATGGAGGCATGTGCAGGGAAGGAAGAATTTCCCAAAATCAAAACATTCAAAAGCAACATAAATAGCACAAACTGTGTGTACAGAGACCTAGAAGAAGAAAATAAATGGTATTGGTATTGAAATACAAAAAATTACTATCTTCCCACTATACCTGAAAAAAACCTTTGCATGATAGTACTGTCTAGGTTTGGAATGCTTGTGGAGGCTTCTGTAGTGAGAATAACTGTATGAGGTACAATATCCTATCAATTAGTAACGACTTAGTGGGCAACTAATTTCAACCAGGCTGTCACTTTTTGGACATTATGCGTCAAATTAAAGCTCAAAAGATTTGTTGCATATTCTGCCATGTGCTGTGGAATTTGATATGAAATTTCCAGTATAGGTGTGCATTTGCACATTATGTTTAATAATTATTGTTGCTTCTCTAAGTTTTGAGGTTTTTTTGTTTATAGGCATTGCTCTTCCAGTATTGCTCTTTCGCTTTTTTACTCACTCCAGTGAGCTAACAACACTGAAGCCTAAAAGTTGCAATTAAGATGCTAACAGATCTTTACTACGTTGCTGATCATTTTAACAGAAACATCCAGTAGATGTCAAATCTGGTCTTTTTTCAATTGGTCTTCAGTGTCAGAAGCCCCTACTTCGTGTTGTGCTTTCAGAGGCTGTTTTCCTCAAGCTTCATAATAATCTAAAAATTAAGCCATTACATGAAATAGACACATATCAAAACCAAGATCATAGGCAATACATGTGATTGACAGGATTCCATTTTATAATGTATAAAACAAAATCTCAGATGTGAGTATCTCCGAATGCAGCTTGGTTGAAATTAGGGCTACACATGCCACAGGGGCCAGGATTACAGGTCTCCAACCTCCCACTAGAAATCTGTGCCTACAGACTGCAGCAGTGTCCAGGCACTTACATTTTAAGCCATAGAGTTAAGCTCCCCCATAGGTGAACCTTTGCATACATTCTTGGTGAGAGAGAAAAATAATCATACTCCCATGTAAAAAGTTTGCTTAGTGTGCATTGGCTATTGAATAACATGGTGACACACAGTCAGTTGGAATGCTTTGTTCAGGTTATCTTATCTCAAAAATGTTACAACAGAAACCCTTCATGAAGAATCAGAGGTGAAAGTAGTTATTAGGATCTAAGGATGCTTCTCCTTTGAGCAAGAGAAGAGGGAGACTGAAACTGAGAATGAAAATTGTTGTATGTATTGACCCATTTAAGTATGAAGGAGAAGCAAAAGAAGGACAATGTACTTGAAACTAAATATATGTTAGTACTAACATGGACAGTGGGATTGAGTGTGCCCTCAGCAAGTTTGCCGATGACACCAAGCTGTGTGGTTTGATTGATACACTGGAGGGAAGGAATGCCATCCTGAGGGATGACATGCTTGTGAGATGGGCTGATGCCAGCCTTAGGAAGTTTAACCATGACAAGTGCAAGGTCCTACACCTGGGTCGGAGCAATCCCAGGCACAGCTACAGGTTGGGCAGAGAAGAGATTCAGAGCAGCCCTGCGGAGAAGGAATTGGGGGTGTTAATCGATGAGAAACTTAACATGAGCCGGCTTCAGTGTGCACTCACAGCCTGGAAAGCCAACTGTATCCTGGGCTGCATCAAAAGGAGCGTGACCAGCAGTTTGAAGGAGGTGATCCTGCCCCTCTACTCCGCTCTCATGAGACCTCACTTGGAGTATTGTGTGCAGTTCTGGTGTCCTCAACATAAAAAGGACATGGAACTGTTGGAACAAGTCCAGAGAAGGGCCACGAGGATGATCAGGGGACTGGAGCACCTCCCGTATGAAGACAGGCTGAGAAAGTTGGGGCTGTTCAGCCTGGAGAAGAAAAGGCTGCGTGGAGACCTCATAGCAGCCTTCCAGTATCTGAAGGGGGCCTACAAGGATGCTGGGGAGGGACTCTTCATTAGGGACTGTAGTGATAGGACAAGGGGTAATGGGTTAAAACTTAAACAGGGGAAATTTATATTGGATATAAGGAGGAAGTTCTTTACTGTGAGGGTGGTGAGGCACTGGAATGGGTTGCCCAGGGAAGTTGTGAATGCTCCATCCCTGGCAGTGTTCAATGCCAGGTTGGACAGAACCTTGGGTGACATGGTTTAGTATGACGTCTCCCTGCCCATGGCAGGGGGGCTGAAACTAGATGATCTTAAGGTCCTTTCCAACCCTAACTATTCTATGATTCTATGATGCTATTTATAACTACTACATGTGTAACAGAAATCCTTGGGTTTGTTTCACTTAGTTTCAACAACTATAGATTTAGAAGTCACAGCACTGAGTGGTCAGATTTATTTTTTGAATTTGCGTGCTGTAAGTAGCTGAACAAGAGCAATGAAGAGACAGAATTTAAAACCTGTTTCATACATACAGAATCCATTTGAAATTTTCTTCTAATACGTTGATATTTCTGTGTTTTTCAGGGAAAAAATGCAGTTTGAAAAAGTGGATATCAGTGAGTTGACATGGGAGCAAAAAGAACATGTTCTATGATTGCTTTTTGCCAAAATGAATGGCACAAATCCATGGTAATATTCTGTTTCTTGAGTAGGTGAATGCTGATCTTTCTCTGTTAGAGGAGCTGAGCTAGTATCTCCAGGTCAGGGATTCCCAGAAACTCTGAATCTAGCATAAGAATCTAGTTAACTGTGAGGTGTGGTGTGAGACACATTAAGTTTTTTAAAAAGGTGATTTAACCTTTTGAAAAAGGTGATATACCATATAATAATTTTGGACATGCACCAGGCAACACTGTTAGACCTTTGTGTGTAATAGCAAAAGAAAAGCAAGCAGAAGCTAATTTTGGTAGTGCTGAGGAAGAGAGAAGTAAGGAGAATTAACTTTGCTTGCTGCAGTGGGGTTAATTTTGTTCAGACATTAATGAAACCCAGTCCATCTTTACCAAACAAGTACATAATGTATATTGTGACACTAGCACTCCTCCACATATATTTCCTTTTAGTAGGTTGTAAAGCAAACTGTGCAGTATTAATAAGAGCAAATACCCTCAATCAGTGTATTAAAGGTGTATCTATTCTATAGCTCATTGCTCTCTGCATAAGAAACTTCAGGGTATAACTTTAGAGATCCCTAAAATATGGCTTACACTGGAAATCCAAAGTTCAAACAACATTAAATATAAGCTGTGAACTGAGGCATAACAGGGCCCAAATAGAAATCTAAAATGCTATGATTTTTAATGTCATTTGGGGAGACCTAATGCTTAGGGTGCAATATCAGCTTCTCTGTGTTAAAAGAGTTTATTTAGTTTTTAAAAAATTAAGTTAAATTTTGTTTGTAAAAGTTACATTAATGGAACTTTCTCAGATTTTAATGTCATTACAATGGAAGTAAGAAACATGTAATTAAATGCTCTTAAGGTTCCAATTTATGCATGGATTTAACTCCTATGAGTATTTGCCAACATACAAGCACTCACAAAGCTGTAGAGTGTGAAAGCTTGAGAAATTGAATACAGACAGAACATTTTAAGTTGATTTATAACTAAACTTTTTTTTCTATTAAAACACACTCTTTTGTTTATTTCACCTCGTTCCCTTTTAATTGTAATGATTTTGCCAGAAAATATGGAATTCCATACTGAACTGAACTCATGTTTGAACCACGGTGCTGGGTTTGGAGAGTGTACTGCAATAGCTCAGGTGCCCTAGCATTTCTTGCTTGCTGTTTGTTTTAGAAAACAAGTTTGGTGCGGGATTATAAACCTGTCTGAGTACAGATTGCCATTAGATGAGGATTACTTTGCTCTTGTGTCTTCCCCATAGGCACTACAGCTGAGTTTTGGCTACTTCAGCTCCAGCTGCTGCTGATACTAAAGAAGAAAGCAAAACTGGGTAAGATACTAAATTATTCCACACTAACATCACCTCAGTCTTGGTTATATATAAATGGATGCAATTGTCTCTGTCATTCTTCCCACTTTAGAGTACTTTGGTTTGTCTGAAGATACACGTTAGTGTATCTATATACACGTAAATATGTGTGTGACAAGAAAAAGGAATTTTTTATTTAGTTTGAACTTTCTGGTCATACTCATCTTTTAGCAGCAGGCATTTAGCCTAAGCTGTCATAAAAAAAAAAGGTCTTTGCCTCCTTAAAGCCTCCTCTTACTGAAAAGCAGCTTTATTATTTTTGGAGGGTTCTCTTGTGAAATGCCATGATCATACAAAGAAACACATTTTCAGCTAACACAGTTTTGATTAAAAGGCAAAATCTATTAAGCTGATGGGGGGGTTCAGCATAGCATCACTTAGAATAGACCAGGATGAAGATTCATATGCCTGATTTTCCAATACAGACTCAGATACAAATATAAGGCAAGCAATATTAACTGGAGGAGTTAGCAAGGAGGAGTTCTGGCATGCTGTCATGTCAGATGTGGGGTAGTCAAGCACACAAAACAAAATGTGATACTCGGGCATCAAATGACCAGCTAACTGTTCATGAGCAGGAGCCCTAGAGGGATGTGTATGGAAAGATGAGACACCTCTTTGGAGAGGCAGACCGCCACCTCCAGAAACAGGAGTGGAAGTGAGTTGTAGCCTTTTTTGCAGAAACAGGTTAAAAAAAAACAGAAGTGGATGTCACAGGGCCCAATTCTGAAACATGGTGTCATGGTTTAAATAAAGTCAGCCATAAATCACGCAGTCGCTCTCTCACTTCCCCCCCCCCCCTTTTTGCCTTCCCCCTGCTCCCAGAGGGATGGGAAGGAGAATCAAAAGAATGCAACTCCCACGGGTTGAGACAAGAACAGTTTAGTAACTAAGGTATAACACAAATCACTGCTGCTACCACCAATTATAATAATGATAAAAGAAATAACAAGGGAAGAGAATACATCACCTCACCACTCGCCGACCGGTAACTCGCTCCACCCTGCCTGACCAAGCACCGACTGATACCTCGTCTAACCGCGCAGTGCCCTAGCCCTTCTGGGTAACTGCCCCCAGTTTATATACTGGGCATGATGTGCTGTGGTATGGAATACCTCTTTGGTCAGTTTGGGTCAGGTGTCCTGTCTCTGCTTCCTCCCGGCTTTCCCTCCTCCCTGGCAGAGCATGAGGCTCACAAAGTCCTTGATCAGTCTAAACATTTGAGCAGTAACTAAAAACATCGGTGTTATCAGCTCTGTTCCCAGGCCGAAAATCAAAACCACAGTGCTGCACCAGCTACTAAGAAGGAGAAAAATGACTGCTACTGCTGAACACCTGGACAGGTGGTTAAACATCATTTCTGGATGTAATACTATTGAATAACTTTGAGAATCTCTACTGTAGTGCCTTCTAGGCAAGAACCAACTGTTCATAGGAGACAAAGGGTTGACTATAAAGGGTTGTATTTTAATGGAGTCTAAAGAAATTTATTATAAGATACTTTATACCTGGATTATACTTTAGTATAATATAGAAGATACATTCTTTGTTATTTTTTTATAGTAAATGTTGAAATAAAAAGGAGAATAAACAGGTGACCAAAAAGCAGTAACAGTGAGATGAAGCAGGTATGTCATCATCAGTCAGCATCTGCAGGTTCATCGAAAAAGGCATTTCATCAACTAAAAAAGGCAGATGCAAGATCTGTATGTCTAGTACAATTACTCAAACCCAGCTTTTTAAAAAAATACTGTTGGAAATGCAGATAATCAGAAAGCATATTTATACAAATTAAAAGATTATAGAAGTACCTCAAACAGGTCCAGAGAAAGTGCAGAGATCTTCCTGCAATGCTTCAGGGAACAGGTAAACTTTGATAATAAAGACTGCTTTTGCAGTCCAGGAGAAACTGGATTTTAGAATTTCTAAAGGAAAGGTGTAATAGGTTTTAATAGGATGACATAAAAGTCAGAATAGCAATACAGATTAGGAAGAAAATAAGGGTGTTTTGAAAGTGAATGACTGTAGATAATAGTATAGAGCCTGTTAACTAGTACTCTTTTCCCAGGTGTTTGAGTGAATGCCTATGTCTTAATTGTGATTTATCTAGAAGATTTCACTTTTGCAGCACAGAAAATAATTCTCCCAACCTAATATTCATTACACAGCAGGCTGAATTACCAGATTCTTCATCATCATTATCCTGTGCAATAATCTTTCTGCATATTCAGTTGTTGACACCATGACCAGCAGCCACAGCAGTTACTGACTCATCTGCACTTTTCATTTGGGAAGTTATCTTGTGACCAAAACTGTAAATTCTAAATCCTGTCTGCTGCACCACTGTTTTGACTATGTGTTTGAAATCCACCTGAAATACAGTTACTTTCCTCCTCCTTAAAGATTTTATTCTTTCCAAGCCAGAAGCTCAGATCACCCTGTACTAAGCACTAGGATTTGGACTAGTGGTTAGAACTCTCTCTATATGAGCTGATATAATTTGATGAAGATCTAGTTTCAGTTTGCAATAAAGTAATTTACATGAAGCTTAAGAGTGTAATCAAATGATGTGTATGTGGAAACAGAAACAAGGCATTCTTTTAAATGCTCTATGAGGAAATTGGTCCAGAGGTTCTTGAAATACTGTAAAAAGAGAATGTATCCATGGGTTACAGGAGTCACAGACCAGCCTCTGCAAAGAGGGGAATAAAGTCAGCATCACACCTAGATAATGTCTTACCACACAAGAGTCATATTCTACATAAATTTATTAGCATGTTTTTAATTTGTAATCAGACTCAAGGTGAGGATTTTCCTCTAGGGTATATGAGAGGAAAAAACACGATACAAACATTAGTGAGTGTAGAGCAACTGCACTAATACATAACTGTTACTAGGCATCTTCACCAGAAGGCAGGATACAAAGTGTTCACATTCAGGTTGTTTAATCAGAACAAGTAATGGTTACAGTCATTAGAATAATATTATTTTACATGGGTGCTTGAATGAGTTCTCTGCAGATCCCTCATGGCTGCATCATCTTCCAGGAACCAGGAATAAAAATATAAGCTCTCCAGCTCCAAATGCAGAGATCTTTAAAAACGGGGCATGCCAAGTCTTACCTTTCTCCAGTAATGGGACCTGCATTCCGCAGAAAACGTGACTGTATTTGAGCAAATGTGACAAGCAGTCAACCAATCAACACAAGAAATACAGCTACAGTCAGGAAAAAAAAACAACAGAAGAGGTTCGTGATTAAAAAAAGAGTTCTTTCTTGCTACTGACCTGTCTACTATCCACCCAGACCCACATGATGTGACCTGAAGATACATACACATTCTTACATTTCTGCTTCCACAGTTTAATTATGTTACAGGATCTGTAGGCACATATCTGTTAGCACAGTGAAAAAGGCACTGAACAGTTTCCAGGTGTAATGGAACTGGCAGCAGGCTGGAGAATACAAGCCACTTGCACAACATGAAGAGAAGTTTTCAAGCTATCAGAGGCACAGTGAAGGTCACTGTAACATACAGGAATTTCTTCCATCCTCAGACAAGCAATCAAATATGCTTCCCTGAGAAATCCTTAGAAAGCTATTTCCCAAGTGTTCTGAAGACTGACATTTTCAACTCCCAAACTTACTGTCCTCATTGTGTGTAAAGTCACTTGTATGGGACACCCAAAGTATCCCAGATACGTCATTCAAAATGAGTACTCTGATTTAAGGTGAACTCAAAATCTTAACATGTAAGATAAAGAGCTGAAAGAAAATTGCTACAAGATGTAACCAGGAGTGAGTCACTAAGGCTAAAGAAACTGAAGTGAAAACCAGAGGAATGTTCAAGTTCAGAGGGTCTGGAAAAACGCAAATCAAGACCTATCCCACTGTTTGCCTTTTCAGTTATATAGCGGTTTTGTCTGCTGTAGGTTGTAGGTAAAAAGTTGCATTCCGCTAGCCAAAGGACACCGACAGCAACAGAAAACCCAGACTGTGCATTATATGAGCCTGCCTGATGTGCTCAGAAACAGAGGTCCTTGAGAAAACAGAGCTTTCTATTCATTCCCAAGAAAATTATGATAATTG